TAATAATAATAACAAAAACTCTTTCACTTGGTTCTTCTTACAAGTAAGGAATATTTATTAACAATTAAAAATTCAAATAACAAAAATTAAAAATACTTATAAATTTAATTTCAATAATTTCCAATACAGCGATTTGTTTGGCACAATACGATATAAAGTCCAAAGTCAATAATAGTAATTTGCTCAGTGCAATATGATATAAAGCCATTAGCAATTTGATAGGTTCAATATAATATAAAATTACTTATACACAAGATTTGAAATGTATAAAGCAAATATAAGAGGCAGAAAGTATTTGGAGAAAGGTTTTTGTTAAGAGAGATTTTTATTTTCAGTTACAACATGTTGAATTAAGGCTCAGATAGCACCTCTATTTATATATTTTTCGAAATTACAAAAAGTAAAATAAATAATTATAAAAATAAAAGTGAAATAACTAATTATAAAAGTGAAAAATGAAAAGTGAAAAATAAAATAAAAAATTAAAAAGTGAAATAACTGAAAGTGAAAATATATATAAAAGTAAAAAATAAAAGTAAAAATAAAAAGTGAATAATAAAAAAGTGAAATAATGAAAAGTGAAATAATACTAAGAGATTTTATCATTATATGAATATTTTTGGAATTTTCACATTTTTCAATTATTTTTGAATTTGTGATTTTTATGTTACTATTGTAACAGTATTATTAATACTTTGAATTGTCATTAAGATATGAAAAGTTTTCTTTGAATATTTCTTTAAATCTTATAAATACCTTTAAGTATTTTGAAAGTTAATTAAAATAGTAACAAAAGTTTGGTGTTTCTTCTATTAATCAATATCTATAAAGTTCTATTACAAAGAATAATTATTAATATAAACTTTCTTTATAAATTAAAGTATTATTATAAAGATACTCTTACAAAAAATAATTATTAGTAAAAGTATTCTCTGTAAATTATATTTAAAAGATATGTTAAAATATGTAATATTATCTTTATTTTAATGTAAAATAAAAAATATTTATTAGTAAAATTGAAAACTTTTATATAAAGAGAAAAATCTGTATTTTACTATGTTTAATTAATAAATTTTGATGTTGTTGCATTATTTCTGATTGTTACTATAGTAAAATATAATAAAAATTTTATTTTTATTAAATTTTATTATGAAATTTATCAAAATTAAGCCTTTTTTTAACTAGTATATATTTAATAAATATCAACTAATTTTTTTTTAAATTGCAAATATATTTTCTATGTTTTTAAATATATTTCTATAAAATTTTTTTCACACTTGCTTTATAAAAAATATTTTTAAATAATTTTTTATAGCTCTTTAACCAGGGTAGCCCCCCAACCCGCACCTTTAGCATATGATTTCACAAAATATTACTATGTTAAAAAGCTTTGTGACCTTAGAAAATTTTGTTTCCGTCATCCTAAATATAATGCCAAATTTTTAGCAATTTCTTATTAGGTTATAGACGAAAAACATGTTCGCCATTACTTTCCGTGTTGACTGTAATATTTTATTTAAATTACAAAAATTTTGCAACTAATAAATTCTTCATATGAAATAGGAAAATTTGATAACTATAGCATTATTTTATTTCTCTAAAATAATTAAATAATTAAATCTTTAATTATTAAATTAAGACTTTATTATCCTGAACTATAAATTGTGAGCTCATATTCTGACTTAGTAGTTAATCTTTCTAAGCTAAAATTACAGAGATGAATATAGTTTGCTCGGTCTTAGGTTCCATTCCTTACAGCATCTTTTGATTATCTGATATTGTACAAACTAAAGACATTTTTATAGTTTTATTGCAAGTATATTCTTCAACATAAAAAAATTTAATTCTCACAACTTACAATTATGCGTAGTAGGAATACATCGCTTAGAGCCAGATCAAACGACAAATATTTCGCCATCATTGAGGGGTTAACAATAATCGGTTCATATACTGTAATAATTAGTAGTTGCTCGTTCTTTGAAAAAATTTAACTGAATAAAATTGCTTTCAGATAATTAAAGAACTTTGAATTTTGACTTCAGTTTATGATGATTTTAATTTTGCATTCTGAGTTTTAAATTATTGATGTCTACTTAATAGTTTAATTTATATCTAGCAGAAATAAAGAAAGCTTATTACTCTGTGTCTTTAATTAATAATATACCTAGCATTATCAATGCTAAATTCCGGTGTTTCTTCAAATGAAGGTGGCGATAATATGTCAACATCATCACCAGATGCCTAAACATTCAATTATAAGTAACAAATCTAAATTGGTTTAAACATCGCAAAAAAAATAAAAGAAACTAACAACAAGAGATGCCCAATGGTGCATCATATTTTCCGTCAACACAAGATGCCGCCTAGCATCAAATTGAAAACATCCTTCTGAATGATGAATACAGGCGTCAACGTAATGTGATTGAATTTCTTCAAGTGCCGTCTGAAAACGAGTTTTGTAATCGTTGTCGGTTTGTCCATTATTCTTCTAATGTTGTAGATTTAATAAATTTAGATTTCCATTATTGAAAAAATATATTACATATACATGTATTTACGTACCCGCTTTCGTTGTGTGTGACGGTTATCTTTATCGTTATGGTGTGATTGTTGAAATAATCGTTGGGAACGTCGTACATCTTTTAGCAAAATATTCAAAGATTTAGAATAAAGATTTTGATCGATTTTAAAACTGCTATTTTACCTTTGTCAACGAACTCCTCGTTTTCATTATTTTCATCCCCTAATTTCAAATATAAAAATTCTAGATTCAACATGAATAACTGCAGAAAAAGCACAAACAATAACTATCCTTGCCTGATAGAGACTCGATCAATATTTTTTTATTGGATCTCTTTTTCTTTTGAGAGCTTACATCACCTAAAAAACCATAATTTTATAATAATTTCCCTGTGGATTAGAAAAAACAACATTGCTGACAAATATTTTCGTTTCCATATACAGTATCTTCATAATCTATCAATATTTTTCGTATTTTCATGTCAAATGATTAATAGAAGCTTAAACAAAATACAGATTAAATCGAAAATAGTCACTTACAATGTTCCGCTGCAACATAAGCCATCGAATCATCGTCATTTTCTTTTATAAAAAATAAATCTTCGTTAACAGAATTGTCTGAAATTAGCACTTAATCTCCATTCTTTAGATACCATTAATCCCCTCGTTCATCATTGCTAGCACTTTGTCTGTTTTCCAGTTTATGTTCAATACATTTTTATGATAATGTGCCAAATTATTAATATACCATCGAAGACTTTTCTGACTACATGTTGTACTTTTCAGTTCAACATATTTTCGTGCATGCTCCATAGAAATGGGGAATATTGTCATGTTTTCATTAAGCCACCGTTTTTCTTGGGCGAGTTTTTCATAGCTGATTGCAACGGTAATATATTTTGGTTCACTTTTAATTAGAGTAGATTGTGAACTCATTTATTTAATAAAAGGGAGATAAATAGTCAAAAAAAAAAAATGGGAGGTGGTTGATATTTATATACATGTATATCGATATCTGTACACGTTATGTGTGATGTTTATCACATTACCATGTTTGGATAAATATATTGATCAGGTGACTTGAAAATATATTTTCAAAAAGTTTCTATTCATGAAATACAACATGGAAATTTTTTCTCGCATTCTCAATCCCATTTTTCGTGACAAATCTTGCGCTACTTATGTCCAAATACTCCACAAATCCATACTCGAGAATCAATTCCAAATGGTTATCAGAAATACAAGTGGAATTTGGGAACTTTAGAATCGGAATCTCGGCTTTAGTTTCCATCAAGAAACTTTGTATTGCCATTGGAGAGAATTCTAACGGTGTGTTTATTTCCAGATATCGTAGTTCCGAAGGTATCCATTGCCATAATCCAGAAACAAATTTATCAAAGCCACGATTATTATTATTATTATCATCATCATCGTTGTCCAATTTTTCTTGTTCATTATCGTTTTCTATGTCATCCTCATCCTCATTATCTTTTTCATCCTCATTAATCGTCGTAACTGATGAGGCTGCTGATAATGGTGGTGACGATGATGGTATAGATACTACTGACTGAATGTGAAATGTCAAAGATTTCATGTGTTTCCAAATTTCAATAACATGTAAAATCGACGGCAATTGATCTGATAACAAATAGACTTCAAATTTTTCAATATTTGGGTTATTGGATGCATAATCTTGCAAGAATTCGATGGTGTCAAATGGAACTGATCCAACCAGAATTAATTCTCGTAAAGACGAGGCGGAATGAAGCATTAACAAACTGATGACACTCTTTGCGACAAATGTATCCCTGAATTCCAGCACAAGTAACTTTGAGAAAGATTCAATCGGTAACTTTGGATAATAATCAGAATTGAATAATAGACAATCCCTAAAAACAATTTGTTCCAATTGCTGATGGATCGACAAAATATCCAAAATCATATATTGTTCTGACAAATTAATTTCACAGAATTCAATATATCTTAGGAATGAAGAATGAAGAACGAGAACATCAAATAAACCTTGTAAGTCTTGTGGCGATTCCCAATCATGATATTTCGAAATTGTGATACTGGTTAACGAGAATTGAGCTGCGATTAGTGCAATCAAATAATCGATTCGTTCGAATACTTTGTTATCAGGCAAGATTGGGGATATAGCGATAGAGTGTGAGCTTGGATTTAAAGTTACACTTATAGCTTCTAGATTACTACATAATTGTGTTGCTGAATAAAGTATTCCTGCGGGATATTCACCAGATATTTGCAATCGTTGCAGATTTGAACAAGAATTTTTTGCACACGACCATCGAAGTATATCCCATTCTTCACTGTCACCATCCCATTCGTCATTATTAAAAAACTCGAGTCTATCAAAATCCAATTCTAATTCCTCAAATTTTGCTGCTTCAATTAAATGTTGACAAAATGTCTTGAGCAATTTCCGTGAAGTTCTTTTATGTGGCACAGGTGAACACCATTCATTTATCGCAACAAACAAATCACTCAATGAAAACTTCTTAATCAACGAATCATACGGAAACATCGGCTTCAAAGTGTCATCGTTATCTTGGTCGTAGGAAGAAACTGATGTTGAAGTATCATTATTCTTTGATGTTAGGCCGTATTTTTGTTTTTCAATTTTCGGAAGACATAGAAATAGTGTGTTAATCAATAACGCAGGGTTTATCGCTGTTTGAAATGGATTATACCATAAGAAAGGAATTCCTTGTCGACACCAGTTGCTATTTACAAAGATGCACGAATGTAATGTTTTGTAGTCGGTTTTAAGGTTTTCGAATATTTTATCGATACACAAAACTGTAAGATTCGACGCCATTTACATTTACGACAATTTCTTTCTGTGTACGTACGTACTTGTATGACCTTTTATTGCTGCATTCAATACAGATATAGTCATGTACTTTTTTAGAAATGCTTTTGTAACATGCATGTCTCATTTAACAATAAATAACGAAAATGAAAATAAATGCAAAAACGAAAATTCGATAACTACTACAGTCTGACCCATTGTTATCAATCCCCGCTGTTAGTAACATTGGTCGCAGGGCAGATTTCAAATAATAATAAACTATAAACCGCACGTAATTATTCACCCTCGTACATATTTACAAAGTAACCCCGGTCCCATGATGGTGATAACAACGAGGGACGACTATATAATTTTTATAATACTGCGCTTCAGGTAAATACTAGTTCATTCAATAAAATTATTGGTTCTATTGTCGACTCCATCCTTCACCGCGAATTTCCTTACTGGGAACGAAAATAGGAAACGGATGTGCTTCCGTGTTAAACACATATTTATCGAGTGATAATAAATCAGTATCAGGATCTTCGAATAGCAAGTATAAATATTTCAAGGTTTCCGCCTAGAAGAATTAATTATAAGAATTTGCTAAGCACGAAAAATCTATAACGATAAATACTCATAATAATACAAACCAGCCAAAACGTTGGCATACTATTACGGGTTTTGGGAGGAATGACTGTGACATCTTCTATTTCAGTGTATCCACCTTCAGTAAATTTCGAATATTGTTCAAAAGCTTGAAATATTCTCCATCCCCATTCCCTAGTTGTTGAAAGATTCAATAAGAAAAATTGTAAATAAGAAAAATTGTAAATTAGAAAAATACGGAATTTCAATAAGATAGAGATTCAACCTGCCTGTATTTAATATCCCCAGTCACACGCCAAAGCAAAAATAAACTTTCTACAGTCTCTGGTCTCAAGGAATTATGTGTGTCACCAACCATTATTTCAAAATCATTTTCCGTTGATGAAGAAAACCCATTATCCAAAACACTCTCAGTTGAGTTTGTATAAAAATAAACTTGTTCCGGCGCCAATCTTGTCGCTTGTCTAAAATATATTTCACAGCACGTATGTGTTAATTCTTTGCTGATATTCAAATTCTCCTCTGAATTACTATCGTGGATTTTTGCAGAACCGAGAGCTAAAAATGCCCCGACGAAACAAGATAAATGCTCCATTTTCGGCCTAAATTTGGTGTTAGTTCTGTCGTATGGTCTGCTGTAAAGTTCTCCAAGGTAAAGTAAATTACTGTGAATTGATCGTCTGAGCAAATGTTTTTTAACTCCTGCTATTGATTCGTTGTACATGCGTAGATACATCGGTTCGGTTTTACTTGTCAATAAGTATTGTTTCAACAGATATTCTAACAATACAAAGAAAAATCCAATTAGTCGCAATAATATCTCAGGGACCCCCAGATATTATAAAAATAAATTCGATGAGGTTATATCAAGATATAAAGCGTTTCGATTGGTATGGTAAAATGCTGCGATCAAAGATCGAAAACATCCGGGATTTTATATGGACATACCGTAATAACTATCTTGAAGTGCTCCTATTCCAATCCAATCTCCAATAAATTCACCTCCTGAAATGCTACGTAAAAAATTCGATCAATTAAGTAAAAGAAAAAAATGGCGACAGAAAAAAGAGTTTTTACCTTAAAAAATTTTGAGCGAGTCCATCAAACTTTTCAAGTTTATCAATGTGCAACATAATTTTCTCTACGCGCTCCCAATATTTTGGATCACCAGTCAAATGGCTCAAATACTTGAATTCCAATTGCAATGACCCCGCTTCCGCAACAGAAATCTCATACCTGTGCGATGCCATCGTAGTATTTAGATTCACCCACGCAGCTGGGATAGCACTCTCAGATCGATCAAAAGCGACCAACAATCTGTCCGCCAATTCTGTAGCTTTTGTTAAATAAATAGAATCTTTTCCAGATAAGTGATACGCGCTCAACAATCCGCCCAATACACGAATAGTTGTCTCGAAAAGTGATACGTCGGTATCTTGATTGTGATCTAATACGTTTGCGACCCATTCACGTGCTTTTTTATATTCTTCATCTAGCCCCATAATTATAAGCGTATCCAATGAGTCAACTATCATAAATCCGATCCCGCTTTCAGCGTCATGCAAATTTGAACCGTTTTGTGTGATTGGATGATATTCGTCGAACCCCCAAGCATCTCGCGAGTATCCTATCCATGAGTGTAAAAATGCATTTCGCACTTGATCTTGACGTGTTCTCCATTTTTGTTTGAAATTGTTTATCTTAATGTTTCTTTGGTACTCGACAAAGATTAAATTCAAGACTATTATAACGAATACTAATAATACAATAATTACTCTATAGCATGATGATAGTCGGCTAAATTTAAACTGAAAAATAAATGGCAGTTAAATTTTAAATTTATGTATGATATTTTATAAATTCAATAAGCTTTTTTTTTTTACTAAGTAATACAAGATTTAACCCGTGAATAATGTCAAAAAAGGCCTATTCTATCATATTCACAGATTAAACTTAGTAAAAAAAAAAAAGCTTATTGAATTTATAAAATACAACTATGCACCATAGCAATATTCATATTTAATCGAATGTGTTTACTAAACAGAAAAAATTTGTAAGATTATAATTGATAATTAAAAAAGGATTCTCGGTAGAAATACAATATACAGCATCATATAATAGAAAGTTCAAATTTACCCTTAGAAACCATGTTTAAACTTCTTTTTTCTAAATATCGATGTCAAAAAACAGAATTCCTATCGCTATTAATACTGAATTTACTGCCCAAGGTGCTCAGATTCTCAGAAAATCCGGGCACAGAGTCAATTACGTACATTTAATTACATGAACATGTAGTAAGAAAAAAGAAACTTCTCGCTATGAAAATCTAAGGGGGCAGTAACGGTAAATCACTTCCTTTTGATTTACATAATAACAACAGTAAATGAAGCACAAAGGTGTTTGTGTAACCCCGTTACAAAACGGGTAAACACAAGCTTGGTATGGTGCAAATAATATCGATATGTATCATATCATGTACATGTATAACGGTAATATAATATTACCGATTAAACCTCCTAGCTAAGAAGTTGATGGATTTGAAACACTGTCAATTTAAGAGGTTTGCACTATATACGTATTACTCATTTATCCTCTTTCAGCCTTTACAACAAAAGGATGAGACAGTCAATAATGTTCCGGTTTGATCATACTGTTAATGGTATGGTGTATAACATCTAAAGTCATCAAACATTTGTATTTTATAAAATGGATAAACTTCTTTTCTAAGAAGTAAATATAAAATTTAATTCGTGAATATGCTCAGAAAGGGCCTATTTTATCATATTCACGGATTAAATTTTATATTTACTTCTTAGAAAAGAAGTTTATCCATTTTATAAAATACAAATGTTTGATGACTTTAAATGTTATGTACCATAAAAGTTTAAATGTCGATACAAAATCGTATATCTTTCTATCATACATGTCAGTCACAATCACTTATAAAAATGATAAGCTATACTATAATAAAGAATCTATACACCGGTAGAAAAGGTAGAAGAATTCCGGATTTCCTAGTGGTTTTGTTGAACCACTAGGAAATTCGGAATTCCTCTAGAGTAGAGCTTGGACCCGAGTCAACTCGTTTTGACTCGAATCAGTTCGAGTTAGAATTTTAATGACTCGAAGAGTACTCGAGTCAATGTTCGGGTCAACTCGTGTCAATTTCATAGTGCGAACCTGTAATTTTGCCCAGCTCGGCATTTTAACATTTTTATACGGCCTCCTAAATGTAGTGTAGGCCGAAATCACCATAGGGCTGGCCAGCATTACCAGTCATGTGCACTCGAGTCAACTCGAGCAAAAAATTCTGACTCGAGTTATACGAGTGCGAGCCCAAGTACTACTCTAGAGGTTCACCATTAATGTACCAACCTGTAATAAATATTAAACTTTATTTTTGAGATTTTAAGACAAGGAAATTAATTAATCTAATAGTAAAGCAAGAAGGAATTAACAATTAAAAAATTAATTCTCACTAACCCTTAGCTGGCGGATATAGTAGACATGATTAACGAATTAATTAATGACATTTTATTAATGTTTTGGTTATATTATATTAGTAATTAGAAAAAATAACGAGAATATTCCCTAAGCTTGATTATCTTGATCTAGTCACGATTTAGTGACATTTTAATCATTTTACGATTTAGCAACAAAGAAAATTAATAATCTACCCATCGATCTAAATCTTAAATTAACATCAAAGATTTTATCCAAAATCTTGCATCAACGATGTCTCGGAATGAATGTCAAAAGCTGTATTGGTAAATTTTATCTCCAGATTGGTCAACATGGACTGAAAAGATTTTCAGTCGCGAAGCATTCGTTATACATGTATAAGGTACCAGCAACGAAATGCAAAGAAATTGATGCAAAGATAATGAGAACTTTAATGGATTTTCAGTTTTTGTTTTGACGTCATCATTCCACATATCGATATGCAATCAATATTTGGCTAAGGCTTGGTAACTGACGCTAATATCTGTGGCTTTCACCAAAAGTACCAATCCAGATGTATATCTTCAAAGAATCTTCTATAGCTCAGCAAAAAAAAGTGCGTAAAAATAAGAGAAGCCACAAACGAACTACCAGAAATAAAGAAGAATAAGTTTACGATTGCTAGTACTCTTAATCATTTTAGTAATAACGAAATAACGGAAATAATTGGATTTTTATTTCCCGCGCCCTACTGTCATGGTTTTTTGTTTGAATGTGTGTATATTTATGTTTTGTTTCTGTTGTCCGTTGTGATGTTTGAGTAAAAAATAACCAATCGAACAACGATTAATAGACGAGATAATGCAGAAGAATAACAAGAAAACAAGCTGAATTAATATAAAATAATTCTCTCATTGATTACTATATTTCATAAAATCGATTGATAGCGCGTACGCTGCATGATTAATTACACAAAACCTGGTTACTATTGGACTTTTGATTAGAATTTTTTTCCAGCAATTTTGTAAAAAGGATATGAGAATGCGCTATCGAAATGGATATTACATTTTTCGGAGGAAGTTACTATGGACAATCGTATTGATGATAATAATGGGAATTGATGATATATTATTTATGAATAGATGTGAAGCATTTTCAGTCCCAGGACTTCAAGATGTCGAGAATACAATATCACCTTCGTCGTCGTCAAATAATTCAACAGAATCGTCAAATGCTAAAAAAATAAGTAGCACGAGAACTGTCATAGCTGTATTAATAGGAGTTTTAATATGCATATTAATATTAATCGTGGCGTGTTGTGTTTTGATATGTTGCTTGTTCAAACGACATCGACAAAAACGAAAAGTTGGATCTTTTTCTCGTTCACGTAGTTTCGGTGCATCAACCGCTGAAAAACCTACTTCAACTGCTCCATACTTGATTGTATCATCACCTGGAGGAAGAAATTCGCAACAATATTTTCCGGACGACATCGATAATGATTTGGAGGAATCAAATTCTGAGGGTGAATCAACATTAATCTGGGATGCAAGTCATGCGATGGGTCTAGCAGAAGGCGAAACAACAATCCCTTCGCCGCCACCTGCTTATCAACAATTACCACAAACTAAAAAATCCAAGGATGGTTCATCTAGACATCGACCACGGGATTTGTCAGAAATTCCAGTCCCGCTTCATTTGAAACTTAGTTCGGCGCCGAATTCTCCGAAGGAAAACGACGATATATAAAAAAATGAGAATTGGCAAATGTATTTTATATTCAAAGATTGAATGTACGAATTTTTGTATAGATGATATTTAATTGGTTAAAATATAGTTAGCTAGCATGTTTTTATTGTGTTTAATATTTAATATTTTTATTGTCAACTGTATGCTTCGCTCTGAACCGTGACTAATGCAAAACCACATCCGTTTAAAATTGACTTACGATTTTTCATGTGATCAAGAAATTCTCATTTACAATTTGCTACGAACGCTAACGTAATGATTTTCTCTTCAGGATAATTAACTTTACAATCGGAGTTTGCTAAATATTGCAGCCGATGTCGGGCTATTATTTAATATATATCGATATGATTCATTGTTATTTTTACTTTGCCGCATTCTTTCCCGATTGAGGCTGTGAATCACTTTATTTTTTGATTTCCAAAAGATGAAAAAACACAGCCTTGGGTGTAGTTGATATTGATATAAATGTTGGCTGATTAACCTTTTGTTTTCCGCATTATATGCGCCTTGGTTTTATTTGTTGCTGTTATTTTCGACACGGAAAAGGTTCGATGCTTCATATTGTTTTCATAGAATATAATAAAGAGATAATGAGCTTCTTTTTTGTGCGTGTTTCTATGACCGATAATATCTATTATTTAGTACAAATCGTTAGTACATGTATTAGTTTTTAATTTAAATTTGACTAGTGTGGTGTTGGAGTAGTTACTTTTTGCCATCTTGTTGTTTTTCATCTTTTTGATATTAAACATCAATGAAATAAGTTAAAAGGATGGGTACTTACAACAATAATAACAATTCAAATGATTCTTTCGATAATACGAACGATTTAAATCCTAACAATAATAACAATAATAATTCTAATAATAACAATAATAATAATAGTAATAATAATGATAATAATAATAATTCTGGAAATGACTCAGGTCAAACACCAACGATATCAACGATACCGACACCGGCAAAAAGCAGTGGTTTCATCACATCAAAAACAGCAACACCAACACGAACATCATCTGACCCGACATCAACTCCTCTAGAGGACATAACGAATATTCCGTCAATGATAGCCTCATCAGCGAGTGTAGCAGGTACATCCTCGAATAATACGCCAACAATAGTAACAGCAATTGTACTTGGTATAATCGGATTTCTTCTGTTAGCAGGATTTCTGTTTCTATGTTGGAGACGCCGTAAATACAGAAGATATCGTGCGAATCCAACGATTTCTAAGAAACCAGGGAAACAACAACGATTCACGCTTGATTATATTCTTGGCACTGATGGATATTATCAAGCTGATTCGGAGATCTCTTCAATACCTTCAACACCTTCAACTCTAGCCAGTGGTGGTGACACTCGTCCACAATCACTGTTAATTCAAGGTAACCCGCATGCACAGCAAAGTATGCGGCAAATTTCACCAAGTGTACGAACAATATCAAATCGTTCAATCATAACTCCAACGCAATCAAGAGATTCATTACATCAAATTGATTTTTCAAAACTTGATGCTTATGTAAGCGGATTTAAAGAAGATGAGGATTCATCATCCAATCAACAACGTCCCCCACTTCAACCACAACAGAGCTTAGAAAGTAATGTGCCAGATCATCGGAGTCAAGATAGTCATTCTGCTCAACAGTCACCAAGTCAATCCCAATCTCAATCTCAATCAAGACAACAACAAGGATCGGATTATTTTAATGTGAATCAGAGTCGATCTAGTTCCGATAGTATTATCACTCAACAAAAAAGTCTCGAGCACACTAAACCTGAGATTGAACCTCAACGAGAAATATTAGCTACTGCTGCAATTGATTCACCTCCAAAAGTTTCAAGTCAAAAAAGTTTCGAGCACAATAAACCTGCGGTTGAACCTCAACGAGAAATATTAGCTACTTCTGCACCTTCAAGTCAAAAAAGTCAAAAAAGTTTCGATCACGATAAACCTGCGGTTGAACCTCAACGAGAAATAGTAACTGCTGCTGCGATTGATTCACCTCCAAAAGTTTCTAATGTAGACGCTATTCAATTTCAGCCACCACCACCACAAGTTGATCTACCAAGAATTGACACATCATCCCATTATCAAAAACCTCAACCACCTATTTCTCCACTTCAATCCAATCCACAACAATTTGAGCCTCAGCATGGAAGTAGTTCTCCATTACAATTTGATCCGCGCAGTACCGGCACTTCATCTCCACTTCAATTCAATCCACAACAATTTGTGCCTCAGCATGGAACTACTTTTCCGTTACCATTTGATCCACAGAATACTGGCAATTCATCTCCACTTCAATTCAATCCACGACAATTCGAGCCGCAGCATGGAAGTAGTTCTCCATTACAATTTGATCCGCGCAGTACTGGCAATTCATCTCCACTTCAATTATATCCACCAAAGCTGCCTTCATCTCCAATTCAAAACCATCCGCAACAAGCAGATTCTTCTACTCCAATTAAATTTCCTACTCCGCATACAACTAGTTCACCGCCACCATTGTTATCTCAAAAAAGTTATCCGCAGCCAATGAGTCAAATTGAATTTTCGGATGAAGACATCACACCTCCTACATCAGAGCGTTCTCTACAGAGAGCTGGATCAGTAAAACGAAGCATCCATAGAAAGAATCGTGATGCATCGCCTGCAAAATCAGAGGATTCACTTCGTCGAAGTTTATTGCGAAATAGAGGAGGAAGTGCAGGTGGTAGTGGAGAACGAAGTAGAAGCCGCGATAGTTCTGATGATGGGAGTACTCATAATCCTGATCCATCACCTCCAGTTGTACATCAACAAAGTGATCCCGTTTCTCTATCTCCTCCAAATTCAGGAACTCCAACTCACGGAGAATCACCTGAAAGCTTTTCGATTCGTAGCAATTCAAGGTCACCATTTGAAAGAGATCAACAACATCAAGGTGGCGAAAATTGATAAATAAATTATTTTATTTGAAAGCATTTCTTTGATATTAAAATTCTTTTTTGTACAATTAATATTTTTTAAAAATAAAATTATATTTTCTTTCTAAAATTATCTATGACTAATAGATAAAGATTTGCAACTTTGCAAAATATTGGTTCGTCTGAGCTCTACGCTAGTTTATGTATTTGTTATTCGTATTTTCCGATGCACACTTCCAGTTGTTTCTATAATAATCATCTTTAAATTGACTCGGATGGATTGAATCGATCAACTATAACTAAACATAATCAACCAATTAGCATAGCTAGATTACATAACTAAGGCAATGCGTCGTACCTAAACTCTTATTTCCACCCAAATTCCTCTTAATGTATCCACAATAACTGCACGTTTTGCTTGTGTATGCTTCTGACACCGATGTTATAACAATCTTACCAAATTC